CGCAGGCTCCCCCGTGCCCCCAGCTCCCCCGGTGCCCCGGTGCCCCGGTGCCCTCACCAGTTTGATGTCGCCGCTGCCCACGAGGGCGCTGAGCTCGCTCAGGTCCCGCAGCAGCCCGTTGAGCACCTCGGCCGCGCGGCGCCGCTGCTGCCCCCCGAGCTCCCGCGCCCGCGACAGCTCCGACTCCAGCGACAGCGTGGTGGCCTGCGACAGCGACAGCGCTGGCAGTGCGGGCAGCGGCACCCGGCACCCCCCGGGACCCCCCCGTGCCACCAGGGCACACCCAGGACATCCTGTGGGTCCTCCGGGCACTCACGCACCTGAGAACCCCAACACTGCCAGAAACCCCCTGTGCCCCCAGAGCCCTGGCACCCCCTGTGCCCACTGTGCCCCCTGTGTCCCCTGTGCCCCCAGAGCCCTGGCACCCCCTGTGCCCCCTGTGCCCCCCGTGCCCCCACAGCCCTGGCACCCCCTGTGCCCCCACAGCCCCTGCACCCTGGTGTGCCCGCACTCCCAGCATGCCCTGGCACACCCCAGTGCTGCCCAGTACCATCCAGAACCATCCAGTACCACCCAGTGCCGCCCAGTACCACCCAATACTGCCCAGTACTGCCCAGAACACCCAGTGCTGCCCAGTCCCGTCCAGTCCCGCCCATCCTGGCCCCCCCAGCGCCCCTCAGGACACCCGGAACCGCCGCCATGGCACCACCCCCAGCACCCCAAGGTCCCACCCGAGGGGAGCACCCAGCCTGGCACCCCAGTTCAAGGGCAGGGCTCCCCACTCTGGGCACTGGTTTGAGGCAGGGGGAATCCTCTCTTCTGCTCGGGGGGAATCTCTTTTTTGGGGTGTGGCTTGATGGGAGGGGGAGTCCCCTCTTTGGGGTCCAGTTTGGGGTTTAGGGGCTCCCAAGTTTGAGGCTCCTGTTTTGGGGTTTCCCTGGCTCACAGCATCCCAGTTTGGGTTTGGGAGCCCCAGTCTGGGCCTGGGGGAGGGGGCTTTGGGCGTTGCTGTGTCAGAGGGGGAGGGTCCCAGTGGGCTCCACCCAGGTTTTCCAGTGGGGTTGAGGAGCCTGTTTGGGGTTACCAGCGGGGTCTGGGGGGGATCTCAGCAGGGATCCCAGGCGGGGTCTCGGTAGGAGCCCATTGGGGGTCCCAGTCTGACACCCCCAGGGGCTCCCAGTGTGACCTTGTGGAGCCCTCAGCAGGAATCCCCAGTGGCCATGGGGATTCCCAGGAGGATCCTGCTGGGAATCCCTGTGGGGTGCCCCTGGGGGCTCTCAGAAGGTTTCCCAGTGGATTCACAGCCACTTTGGGGTTCCTGGTGGGGGACTCCCAGCAGGGATCCCAGCTGAGTCCCCACTGGGTTTCCTGTTGGGCTCCCAGCAGGACCCCACTGGAATTCCCAGTGCAGGGTCCCAGCAGGGTTCCCAGCTGGATTCCCAGTAGGATCCTGTTGGAAATCCCCACTGGGTTCCTGTGGGAATTCCCAGCAGGACCCCAGTGTGAGTCCTGGTGGGGACCCCATGGAGGTTTTGCCGTGGTGTTTCCCTGCTGGGCTCCCAGTAGAACCCCACTGGGTTCCCAGTTGTGTTCCCTGTTGAGTTCCCAGTGATTTCCCCGCTGGGTTTCCTGGTTCATTTCCCTGTAGGGTTCCCACTGATGTCCCTGTTGGTTTCCCCATTGGGTTCCCATTGATTCCCCATTGTTTTCCCCACTGATTTCCCTGCTCTTTTTCCCACTGGGTTTCCCATTGTGTTCCCAGCTGATTTCCTCACTGATTTCCCTGTTGGGTTTCCCATTGGGTTCCTCGTTGGTTTCCCCACTGGGATCCCTGTTGGTTTCCCCTGTTGGGTTTCCCATTGGGTTTCCCATTGGGTTTCCCATTGGGTTCCCCATGATTTCCCTGTAGACTTTCCCGTTGGTTTCCCTGCTATTTTTCCTGTTGGTTTCCCCATTGGGGTCCCAAATGTGTTCCCAGTTAGGTTTCCCCACTGATTTCCCCATTATTTTCCCCACAGATTTCCCTGTAGGATTCCCCATTGATTTCCCCATTGGTTTCCCTGTAGGGTTTCCCACAGATTTCCCTGTACGGTTCCCATTGATTTCCCTGTAGGATTTCCCACTGGTTTCCCTGTAGGATTTCCCATTTATTTTCCCACAGATTTCCCTGTAGGTTTTCCCATTGTTTTCCCCACAGATTTCCCTGTAGGGTTCTCGTTGTTTTCCCCACTGAGCTCCCAGCCCCACGGATGCTCTGCGGGCTGTCCCTGTGTCTGTCCCAGTGTCCCTATGCCTGTCCCAGTGTCCCTATGCCTGTCCCTGTGCCTGTCCCTGTGTCTGTCCCAGTGTCCCTATGCCTGTCCCTGTGCCTGTCCCTGTGTCTGTCCCAGTGTCCCTGTGCCTGTCCCAGTGTCTGTCCCGTCCGTCCCAGTGTCCATCCCAGTGCATGTCCCAGTGTTCGTCCCTGTGCCTGTCCCGGTGTCTGTCCCGTCTGTCCCTGTGCTTGTCCCCGTCCCTGTCCCGGTGTCTGTCCTGTCCGTCCCAGTGTCCGTCCCGGTGGCTGTACCTGTGTCTGTCCCTGTCCCAGTGTCCCTGTGTCCGTACCAGTGTCTGTCCTGGTGTCTGTCCCAGTGCCTGTCCCTGTCCCTGTCGCAGTGTCTGTCCCGTCCGTCCCGCTGTCTGTCCCTGTGCCTGTCCCTGTCCCTGTCCCGTCTGTCCCAGTGTCAGTCCCGGTGTCCATGCCTCACCTCGGTGCGGGCCAGCTCGTCGGCGAGCCGGCGGTTGTGGCGCCCGGTGTCCTCGGCCTCCTGGGCCTTGCGGTCGTAGCTCCGGGCCAGCTCCTCCAGCGCCGCCAGCACCTCGGTGACCTCGGCCCGCGCCGCGCCGTGCTCGGCCCGCAGCGCCGCCAGCTCCCGGCGCGCCGCCTCGCCCCCGCCGCGCGCCGCCGCCAGCACCTGCCCCGGGGACACCGGCACACCGGCACACCGGGACACCGGGAGGGGGTCCCAGGGGTCATGATGGGGCACAGAGGGGTCACAGCGAGCATCCCAGGGGTCATGGTTGGGGTCCCAGGGGTCACGGTGGGGGCACGGGGGGGCAGAGTGGGGGGCTCAGGGGGCAGAGTGGGGGGCACAGGGTGCAGAGTGTGGTCCCACAGGTCATGGTGAGGGTCCCAGGGGGTCACAGTGAGCATCTCAGGGGTCATGGTGGGGTCCAGGGGTCATGGTGGACACCCCCAGGAGACCTAGAGGTCGAGGGGGAGGCTCGGGGTCCTGGGGGGTCCTGGGACCAGTCCCAAAGTGGTCCTGGCAGAGTCAGCCTGAGGTCACAACTGGGGGTCCCAGAGGAGTCCTTGAAGGTCCCTGGGGGGTCCCAAAGGAGCCCTGGGGGGTCCCAGTGAGGCCACATGGGGGTCCCGGGGGGTCAGGGTTTGGAGAGTCCCAGGTCCTCAGGGTGAGGGGGCCCAGGGGGTCTGGGCTGGGGTCCCAGAGGGGTCCCAGTGGGTGCCCGGTTCTGGGGGGGGGGTCACACAGAGGGGGTCTGCAGGGGCAGGGCCCTCACCTCCTCCTGGTCCAGCATCTGCTGCTTGAGCTTCTCCATGATCTGGCTCTGCTGGTTGATCTCGTCATCCTGGGGACACAGGGGGCACAGGGGACACAGGGGGCACAGGGGGCAGGGGAAACTGGGGGGAACTGGGGGGATCTGAGATCTGCCGGGGGGAACTGGGGGGCACTGGGAGCTGCCAGGGGGGCCCCACCAGTCCGGGCACGCTGAGGGTCTGGGGGCTGCTGGGCAGACTGGGGTGTCCCCTGATGTCCTGGGGTGCTGGGGGGTGCTGGGGGTCCCTGGCAGGTCCGGCGGGGTCCCCGGCAGGCTGGGGGTCCCCACCTTGTCATCCAGCTGCTTGTAGAGCTTGCGGATCTCCTCCTCGTACTTGTGGCGCTCCTCGTCCGAGATGTGGATGACGATGGAGGAGCTGTTGTCGTTCAGGGGGGGCTCCTCGGGGGCCCCCCCTTGGCCCTCGCCCGGGCCCGTCCCCGCCTCGGCCTCGCTCAGCTGCTCGGTCTCGGGCACGGCCTCCCCTGGGGGGGACGCGGCCTCAGAGCCCCCCTCGAGGGCTGGGGGACACCCGGAGCTCGGGGGGCCCCAGGGCTGGGGGTCCCAACAGGGCTGGGGGTCCCAACAGGGCTGGGGGTCCCCTCGCAGCTCAGCCTCTCCCGTGAAGGATGCGGCCTCGGGGTCTCTACTGGGGGCTGGGGGCTTTTGGGGTCCCCTCCCCACATCTGGGGTCCATTCCCACAGTTGGGGTCCCCTCCCCACATCTGGGGTCCCTCCCCATAGTTGGAGTCCCCTCCCCAGAGCTGGGGTCTCTCCACATCTGGGGTCCCTCCCCACATCTGAGGTCCCCTTCCCACTCTTGGGGTCCCCTCCCCACAGCTGGGGTCCCCTCCCCACATCTGGGGTCCATTCCCACAGTTGGGGTCCCCTCCCCACATCTGGGGTCCATTCCCACAGTTGGGGTCCCCTCCCCACATCTGGGGTCCCTCCCCATAGTTGGAGTCCCCTCCCCAGAGCTGGGGTCTCTCCACATCTGGGGTCCCTCCCCACATCTGAGGTCCCCTTCCCACTCTTGGGGTCCCCTCCCCACAGCTGGGGTCTCCTCCCCAGGGCTGGGTCTCCTCACATCTCCGGCTGCCCCTCCCGGTCCCGGGGTGCCCCTCCCGGCTCCCCCGTGCTCCCCCAGGGGACACTCTGTGCCTCAGTGTCCCCAGGGGGCTGGGGGGGTGTCCCGGGGTCCCCCCCAGATTTCGGGGTGCCCCGGGGTTCCCCCCAGGTTTCGGGGTGCCCCCAGATTTCGGGGTGCCCCAGGGTCCCCCCCAGGTTTCAGGGTCCCCCCAGGTCTCGGGGATGCCCCCAGGTTTCGGGGTGCCCCAGGGTCCCCCCCAGGTTTCAGGGTCCCCCCAGGTCTCGGGGATGCCCCCAGGTTTCGGGGTGCCCCAGGGTCCCCCCCAGGTTTCAGGGTCCCCCCAGGTCTCGGGGATGCCCCCAGGTTTCGGGGTGCCCCAGGGTCCCCCCCAGGTTTCAGGGTCCCCCCAGGTCTCGGGGTGCCCCCAGGTCTCGGGGTGCCCCCAGGTTTCGGGGTGTCCCGGGGTTCCCCCCAGGTTTTGGCGTGCCCCAGGATTCCCCCTAGGTTTCAGGGTCCCCCCCAGGTTTCGGGGTGCCCCCCAGGTTTCGGGGTGCCCCCAGGTTTCGGGGTGCCCCTCACCGCTCCGCCAGCGGCTCAGCTCCGCCTCCAGGCGCTGCAGCGTCTCCCGCAGCGCTTTGTTCTTCTCCTTCTCCTTCTCGAACTTCTTCTTCCACTGCTCGGCCGTGAGCTCCAGGTTCACCGAGGCCGTGTTCTTGATCGTCTTGGCCCTGGGGGGCACCCCGAAACTGGCACCGCTGCTCCCCGAAACTGGCACCCCTCACCGGGCACCCCAGGGTCACCCCAGGGGGGTCACCTGCCCCCCCCTCCCCTCCCAGCTTTGGGGACCCCAGCACAACCCCCGTGAGGTGCAGGGGGCACTCGGGGGGCACTCGGGGGCACTGGGGACAGTTGGGGTGAAGGGGAGGAATTTGGGGTGCACTGAAGGCAGTCGGGGTGCACTGGGGCAGTGGGGGTGTGGCTGGGACACCGTGGGTGAACTTGGGGTGCATTGGGAGCAGCTGGGGCGCACTGACAGCAGTTGGGATGCACTGGGGGCACTTGGGGTGCACTGAGTGTAGTTGGGGTGCAGCAGGAGCTGTTGGGGTGCACTGGAGATAGTGGGGTGCAGCAGGTGTTGTTGGGGTGCACTGGGGGCAGTTGGGGTGCAGCAGGCGCTGTTGGGGTGCACTGGGCACAGTTGGGGTGCACTGGGCACTGTTGGGGTGCAGCAGGCGCTGTTGGGGTGCGCTGCGGTCCGTGGGTGCCCGTGGGTCCCCGGGGGGGTCTCGGGGGGGTCTCGGGGTGCTCTGGGCGGGGGGAGGGGGTGCGGCCGGACACCCCCATTCCCGGGGGGGACCCCCAGCCCCCCCACCTCTGGCCGAACATGAGCGTGGATTTGGTCTCGGCGTCGTTGTAGCTGGAGGGCGAGCAGCAGATGAACATGGTGGTGCGGCAGTTCCCGCCCAGCGAGTCCTGCAGGATCCGCGTCATCTTGCTGTCGCGATAGGGCACGTACGCCTTCTGCGGGGGGAGGGGGCGTCAGCGCCGGGACCCCCGCGGGACGGCCGGGGGACAGCCGGGGGGAGAGGGGGACACGCGGGAGTGGGACACGAGGGACAGGGGGCTCGGGTTGGGGACACACGGGGGACAGAGTGACACACGGGGGACAGAGTGACACGCGGGGACAGAGTGACACACGGGGGACAGAGTGACACGCGGGGACAGAGTGACACACGGGGGACAGAGTGACACAAGGGGGACAGAGTGACACACGGGGGGCAGGGGGTTCAGGGACACACGGGAGTGGGACACGGGAGGACGGGGGGCTCCGGGTGGGGACACACGGGGGACAGAGTGACACAGTGGCATGCGGGGGGCAGCGGGCGCGGGGACACGCGGGAGTGGGACACGAGGGACAGGGGGCTCGGGTTGGGGACACACGGGGGACAGAGTGACACACGGGGGACAGAGTGACACGCGGGGACAGAGTGACACACGGGGGACAGAGTGACACAAGGGGGACAGAGTGACACACGGGGGGCAGGGGGTTCAGGGACACACGGGAGTGGGACACGGGAGGACGGGGGGCTCCGGTTGGGGACACACGGGGGACAGAGTGACACACAGGGGACAGAGTGACACGCGGGGGGCAGCGGGTGCGGGTTGGGGACATATGGGGACAGAGTGACACACGGGGGACAGAGTGACATGCGGGGGGCAGCGGGCTCGGGGACACGCGGGAGTGGGACACGAGGGACAGGGGGCTCGGGTTGGGGACACACGGGGGACAGAGTGACACACGGGGGACAGAGTGACACGCGGGGACAGAGTGACACACGGGGGACAGAGTGACACAAGGGGGACAGAGTGACACACGGGGGGCAGGGGGTTCAGGGACACACGGGAGTGGGACACGGGAGGACGGGGGGCTCCGGTTGGGGACACACGGGGGACAGAGTGACACACAGGGGACAGAGTGACACGCGGGGGGCAGCGGGTGCGGGTTGGGGACATATGGGGACAGAGTGACACACGGGGGACAGAGTGACATGCGGGGGGCAGCGGGCTCGGGGACACGCGGGAGTGGGACACGAGGGACAGGGGGCTCGGGTTGGGGACACACGGGGGACAGAGTGACACACGGGGGACAGAGTGACACGCGGGGACAGAGTGACACACGGGGGACAGAGTGACACAAGGGGGACAGAGTGACACACGGGGGACAGCGGGCTCAGGGACACACAGGAGGGCAGGGGACTCCGGTTGGGGACACACTGGGGACAGGTGGCTCAGGGTTGGGGACATATGGGGACAGCAGGCTCAGGGGGACACGGGAGTGGGACACGGGGGGACAGGGGTCTCAGGGGGACACAGGGGGACAGAGAGACACACGAGGGACAGGTGAGTCAGGGCTGGGGACATATGGGGACAGTGGGCTCAAGGGAACACACATGGGGGGCAGGGGACTGGGGTTGGGGACATATGGGGACAGCAGGCTCAGGGGGACACGGGAGTGGGACACAGGGGGCACAGCGGGCTCAGGGGACACAGGGACAGAGAGACACACTAGGGGCAAGGGGCTCAGGGGGACACGGGGGGACAGCGGGGACCCCACGCCTGGGCAAGGCACAGCGGGCTGGGGGACACCCGGGGGGGGCTGGGGGACACTCGGGGGGCTCCGGGGGTCTCACCGTGCCCTCGGCCAGCGCCGAGATGACGTTGCCCAGCGCCGACAGGGACTTGTTGATGTTTTTGGCCTCGTCCAGCACGGCCCCCTCAGCCCCCGTCTTGCTCACCTGGGGGGAGGGGGCGGCTCAGGGACCACCCCCCCCCACCGTGTGCCCCCCTCCCCCAGGGATGGTCACAGACCCCAACCCAGAGTGCCATCAGGCAGGAGACCCCCAGTGCCAACACCCAGAGACCCCCACCCCAGCCTGCAGATCCTGATGGCCCCAAACCACAACGGCCCCAAAAAAACACCTATGGCCCCAAAAATGGCCCCAATGGCTCCCAAAAAACCCACTGACCCCTAAACCCCAATGATCCCAAACCCCAATGTCCCCCAAACTCCACGCCCCAGTGTCCCCAGTGCCCTCCCAATGCCCCCCCGAGCTCCTCCCAGTGCCCCCAGTGCCTTCCAAGTCCCCTCCCAGTGCTCCCAGTCCCCTCCCAGTCCCCTCCCAGTGCCCCATCCCACCTCCTCTTCCCCCTGCACCCCGGTCCTGCAGTCCCGCAGCTCCGGGGTCCCCCCCTTTGGGGTCGTCCCCCCCCCTTTGGGGTCCCCCCCACCTTTGGGGTCCCCCCACCTTCTCGCTGCCCGCCAGGTCCACCAGGTAGAGTTTCCCGCTGAGCTTCTGCTCGGTCTCCACGTTCTCCTGCTTGATGTGGATGAGGAAGATGCTGTGGCTGCGGGAGCTGTGCTCGTTCATGTCTGCGGGCAGGGCACGGCTGGGGGCGGGGCACGGGGGCACGGCCCCCAACCCAAACAGCCAAAAACACCCCAGAAACACCCCAGAAACCCCCCGGAAACCCCCCAAAAACACCCCAAAACACGCAAAACCACCCCAAAAACACCCCAGAAACCCCCCAAAACACCCCAAAAATACCAAAAACACCCAAAACCCTCCCAGAAACACCCGAAACACCCCAAAAATACCCCAGTAACACCCCAAAAACAGCCCCAAAACACCCAAAACGCCCCAAAACACCCCAGAAACCCCCCCAAAACACCCCAAAAATACCCAAAACACCCCAAAACCACCCAAAACACCCAAAACGCCCCAAACCCTCCCAGAAACCCCCCCAAAACACCCAAACACCCACCAGAAACCCTCAAGAACACTCCAGAACCCCCAAAAACACCCCAAAACCCCCCAAAACACCCAAATCCCCCCCAGAAACGCCCTCAAAGCCCTGCAAAAACACCCAAAAGCACCCAAAAACACCCAAAACCCCCCAGAAACCGTGTCCCCATGTCCTTGTGTCCCTATGTCCCCATGTCCCCATGTCCCCATGTCCCCATGTCCCCGTGTTCCCATGTCCTTGTGTCCCTATGTCCCCGTGTCCCTGTGTCCCCATGTCCCCATGTCCCCATATCCTTGTGTCCCTGTGCCCCCGTGTCCCCATGTCTTTGTGTCCCTATGTCCCCAGTCCCTGTGTCCCCCATGTCCCCCCCGTGTCCCCGCGGGGCTCACTGGTGACAGCCACGTGCCGGTTGGATTTCCCCTCGTCGATGACATCCAGGATCTCCTCGGGGCTGGACACGAAGCGCTCGGTGCAGCCCTGGGGGGCGGGGTGACCACGGGGGGCTCGGGGGGGGGCACAGAGCCCATCCCCCCCATTGGGGAGTGACCACGGGGGGCACAGAGCCCATCCCCCCCATTGGGAGTGACCACGGGGGGCACAGAGCCCATCCCCCCCCGGGAGTGACCACGGGGGGCACAGAGCCCATCCCCCACACTGGGGAGTGACCACGGGGGGGCCCCAGCCCCTCCAGCCCCCCCCGGGACCCCCCCTCCCCTCACCTTGACGTAGGGGACGCGGTTCTTGTCCTCGTGCACCGACAGGTTGGTCTTGGTCACTGGGGGGACACGGGGGGGTGGGGCCTCCCAGTAACCTCCCAGTGCTCCCAGTAACCTCCCAGTTACCTCCCAGTGCCTCCCAGTTACCTCCCAGTGCCTCCCAGTGACCAACCAGTAACCACCCAGTGCTCCCAGTAACCTCCCAGTGCCTCCCAGTAACCACCCAGTGCCTCCAGTAACCTCCCAGTAACCTCCCAGTGCCTCCCAGTGCCTCCCAGTGACCAACCAGTGCCTCCCAGCGCTCCCCCATCCCCTTCTATGGTTTCCAGTCATTCCCAGTAACCACCCAGTACTCCTCAGTTTGCCCCCAAGAGCTTCCCAGAAATGCCCCCGTGCCCCCTGCCCCACCTCCATGGTGTGGGTCTTGCCCGATGACGTTTGTCCGTAGGCGAAGATGGTGCCGTTGTACCCGGCCAGAACATCTGGGGGAGAGAGCGGGTTGGGGACCCCCGAACACCCCCCGGGAGCCCCAAAAACACCCCCGGGAGCCCCAAACACCCCCGGGATCCCCGAACATCCCCCGGGACACCCAAATACCTCCCGGGACCCCCGGGGATATCGCAGACCCCCCCAAACCCCAAGGGACCCCTCTGGGAACCCCAAATGTCCCCGACCCTCCCCAGATCACCTCGGAGAGCTCCGGGGAACCCCAAAAACACCAACGGATCTCAGAGACACCCCAAAAACCCCGGGGACCGCAGTGACCCCCAAAGGACACCCCAAAACCCCGGGGACAGCAGTGACCCCCAAAGGACACCCCAAAAACCCCGGGGACAGCAGTGACACCCCCCCCCCAAACCCGAGCTCCGGGGAACCCCAAAAACACCAACGGATCTCAGAGACACCCCAAAAACCCCGGGGACCGCAGTGACCCCCAAAGGACACCCCAAAAACCCCGGGGACAGCAGTGACACCCCCCCCCCAAAGTCCTGCAGAGCTCCCAAGTCCTTCTGGGCAACCCCAGGACCCCCCAGGCCAGCGCTCCCTGCTGTCCCTGCTGTCCCCAGCTGTCCCCAGACTGTCCCAGACTGTTCCCACACTGTTCCCACACTGTCCCTGGGCTGTCCCGGGCTGTCCCGGGCTGTTCTCCCACTGTCCCCAGCTGTCTCCAGGCTGTCCCGGGCTGTCCCCACGCTGTCCCTGGGCTGTCCTGGACTGTCCCCACGCTGTCCCCAGGTTGTCCCCAGGCTGTCTCCAGGCTGTCCCAGGCTGTCCCCATGCTGTCCCTGGTCCCTGGTGTCCCCGGCTTATCCCGGGCCGTTCCCCGCTGTCCCCAGGCTGCCCCCACGGTGTCCCCGCTCTGTCCCGGGCTGTCCCCGGGCTGTCCCCAGCTGTCTCCAGGCTGTCCCTGGCTATCCCGGGCTGTTCTCCCACTGTCCCCAGCTGTCTCCAGGCTGTCCCGGGCTGTCCCCGGGCTGTCCCGGGCTCTCTCCATGCTGTCCCTGGTCCCTGGTGTCCCCGGCCTATCCCGGGCCGTTCCCCGCTGTCCGCAGGCTGCCCCCACGGTGTCCCCACTCTGTCCCGGGCTGTCCCCGGGCTGTCCCCAGCTGTCTCCAGGCTGTCCCGGGCTGTCCCCCCGCTGTCCCCACGCTGTCCCCGTGTCCCTCACCCTTGACGATCTGCATGGCACACGCGTGGTACACCTGCTCCTGCGTGGTGTTCGGGGGGAACACGCGGTCAAAGACGTACGGCTTGCCCTGGGGGGACAAGGGACACGCACGGGGTCAGCGGCCAGAGAGACCCCCCCGCACGGGGGTGACCGGACAGAGCCCCCCCGCACGGGAATCACCGGCCAGAGACCGCCCCCATCGCACGGGGGTCACCAGGCAGAGAGAGACCCCCCCCCGAGGCCCGGGGGTCACCGGGCAGAGCCCCCCCCGCACGAGAATCACCGGCCAGAGCCCCCCACACAGGGGTCACCGGACAGAGAGAGACCCCTCCTCACGGGAATCGCCGGGCAGAGCCCCCCCACACAGGGGTCACCAGGCAGAGCCCCCCCGCATGGGGGTCACCGGACAGAGACCCCCCCCATCACACGGGGGTCACCGAACAGAGACCCCCGAGGCGCGGGGGGCTGGGGCAGCCTTGGGTCCCTCGGTAAGTCCCGGTGGAGGGGGGGGAGGCTGTGGGGTCTCGTTCTGTGCCCCTTGTGCCCACCCTGAACCCTCACCCATGGGCCCAGCCCCCCAATATCCACAGAGACCCCCCCGTCCAAATCCTCTCACAGACCCCCGGGACCCTCCAGACTTCTCCAGAACTCCCCATGGTTCCCCAGAGACCCCCGAGCCCCCCACAGACCCCCAGGACCCTCCAGATTCCCCCAGGGATCCCCACAGACCCCTGAGCCCCCCACAGACCCCTGTGCCCCCCACAGCCCCACAAACCCCAAGGGAGGGGGGGGG